TGCGTACGTACACATATTTCAGCGACGCACTGGGCGATTCGCAAACTAATCTGCCATATATTACCGAGGACTGGCAGCCCTGCCGACAGGTATATACTCCCTGACTGGGGGTTGGCTTGGGGTGTCCCTGGTGCGGAGGCCACTGCAATTCGCAGTCGCACTTGCTGTTGGCCTTAACTCGTCCCTGCCACTCGTCAAAATGATTTATTTTTGATAAATTACCACCGTCCTGCTCCACTAGAGGCAGCGGCGACGTTGCACGCAATTTTGCAAATGATTTACACGGAATGACACGGAATTTAATTTCGAAATTCGCAAATGCTGTTTCTCTTTGGGTGGCAAACATGAATCTCGCACTTCTCGCCGAGGGCGAGGCGACACGGCTCCCAATCGGTGGTAGTTGCTCCTCGGGGATAAGTAGACATTATTTATAATTGTGCTATCATAAAAGAGCCTGTCCCTTGCCACAATGGGGCATGTAATTCCCTCGTATACGCGCACACAAATGCAGTTCGTAGTTCTTTCCTCGCCGGTTGGACAAATAAAAGTGTTAAATGCTCTAAGGAAGCTGTCATATAAATTAACGTACTCTCCCGTACTCTCCCCGAAACAAATGTATTTGCATTCGTTCGAGTCGAGCCCAGCCCCCCAGTCCCCCCCAGTCCCTCCCAGTCCCCCAGTCGTCCAGTCTGCAGGTCTAGTGGGATTGTGTGCCACAGGAAAATGTTAATTAGTAGACGGGAAAAGCAATGCCAGATGAAGGAATGATTTGTTTGTTTTCGCAGTGCCTCCTGATTCTGATTTGAGAACGGGAACTGGTGGGCTCTTCAGCCAAGGTTTCACTTATTGGTGGGGAATAAAATAGATACAAATGTGAGGTTTCTCCCTGAACACGACTTTAAGTGTATTTATTATAAGTTTTTATTCGCTAGTCTTTATTTTTAGCATCGCATCGCAGTATCCTTGAACTAAATTGTAAATTGTAATTGTCTGACGTGCAGGTAAAATGTTAATCTGCTGGAACATCTCACGTCTCAAGAGACCCGAAAGTTTCCAAACATTATCCGTATACGGGTACGTATGGAGGAGGTAGCAAAAAGTTTCTGTGTGCAGGCCAAAGCGCAAATACAACGAGGGATGCTGCAGTCAATTGGCGGAGGAAGGATGCTCGGAAGGATGCTTGTACACTTGCAGCTGAAACTTCAAATTAGTTCGGCTGTTATATTAATGTTAATGAGACGGGAAGTATTCGTAAAAGTTCACTTTTTGAGTGCCCATCTTACCACATTAGCTTGTGGCAGAGACTTTTCGCCGATCAGTTTTGTTTTAATGTTTAATCGAGGCTTTGATAGCCCCCTTAACTCTGCTCTAAAAGGTTTATTATTTTGGTAATATTTTGGTGGGTGGCATCAGTCCCCTTATGTGATCTCCAGCAAAGACTATTGTGGATGGTATTAGATAGAAAAGACTTGGGAGGGAGGAAGGCTTTATCCGCGGGGATATTTCCAAGTTTTCCAAGAATATGGTTTCTAGAATACCATTTCGATGCTTAAAAAGTATTCTCACTCTTTTTGGTACTGGCAATGCTTAGTGTTGCCCCAAACTTTTCGACTGAAATGAATGCAAAATTGATGTTGAACGATCTAACATATCCTCTATACTTACGCATGCAGCCCCATTCCATACCATCCCAGTTCCAATAGCACATGCCACATGGGCGGAAGGGGGCAGAGGCAGAGGCAGAGTAGTCGTGACGCATGCCACCGGCAGCTGTCCATACAAAGCATCTACTTCTAATTGTCATGCCCCGACCAGCCAGACCCCGACCCCGACCCCGACCCCGATCCAGACACCGACCCAGACCCATCACGCGCGAGTGTGAGCCGATAATGCTAGAATACTAGATACTAGAAGGGAAAAGCGAGTATCTACGTGAGTTCCGAAAACCAATTGGAAACCAGAAATCACGTCAATTGGTGCGACAATCAATCGTGACTGCGGGATGTCAAAACGCCGCCAAAGGGGAACGCACGCGCAAAGAATTCAGAGGAAAGGGCCTCAGGTCGGAGTCGCAGTCGCAGTCGCAGTCGTAGTCCCAGTCCGGGATCGGGTCGTCCCGTGTCCCATGTCCCAAGTCCCGGGTCTAGCATAGACTGCGGCACTGGCTTGGGCTTTGATGGAACGTAAACGGCACTTGAACCACAAAGAGCACCGATTTGTTGATTTGTTTTGTTGATTTGTTTTGAAAAGTGAGTAAATAAGTATGTTTCCATTTATGAATGTTTGGTAAAATGTTGTGTTGTGTGCGCTTTTGTTCTGTTTGAGCAGCAATTTCATTTTCGAGTGGTCGATAAGATGCCAGGTGCCGATACGATATCTGGCGGCTGATAACGCCGCACACTGATTGGTGCACGGACTCGGTGCGGGAGTCCCACCCGCAACACCCCGGTCCCAGTCCCAGCCCCAGCCCCAGCCCCACGGCAGAGCGACTCCACGGTGTCTACTTTTTGCCCGAAGGCTCGCAACCAAAATGGAGGTTGGAGCTGGTCGAAAAGTGTGCATGAGGATTATTGCAATTTGTAACAAAATCTTTAGTGTTGAGGCATGCAACATGGCTCCCCTTGGAGACGCAACGACAAACACAAAGACAAAGACAAACACAAACAAATTCATTTAAAGCAATTTGCACAGAGTCCTTTCCGAGCTTGTTCCGGTGACTTTATCGTTTATTGTTTTCAAAAGGATTTTATTATATTTACGAGGAGGATAGTGTGCACATTTCGGTCTCTCTCCGAGTGTGTGTGCTGTGGTGTGTGTGTGTGTGTGTGTGTGGAGTGTGCCTTCAATTTAAGAAGATTTTTCGCCGCCTCTCCCCAAACACGAGAGATGAGGCCGGCTGTCTATCTGTCTCTCTGTCTGTCGATGTGTGTGTATGTGTGTGTGTGCCACATACTGAAAAGCGACAATTTCATGTCCAAATGCTTTCCAGGTGACATGAAACAACACTTAAGGAGGCAGCAGTCTGGGGGCAGATGGGGGGCCAGGGCCAGGGCCCGGGCCCGGGCCAGGCAGTGCTTGCAACACACTCCCGTGCGTGGATTCTTCCACCTGGCCCACGCCCCCACACGGAGCCAGCCTGCAACGTGCATTAGCAGTTGAATTCGTAAGGGGTTCTCTCCTTCTTCTGTATGTGTGAGCCTGTGAGCCTGTGAGACTGCCGAACCATAGCATCTGGTGTCAAGGAGCAATATCTCTCAGTGCCGAAATCTACATTTAAATTGTTTTCAATATAATCTGCATGTCCGGTCCAGTAAGAGTTTGTGTTTCTCCAACTGAAAAGAGAGTTCAAGCAAATAGGAATACATGTGCGTGTGCGTGTGCGTGTGCGCGTGTGTGTGTGTGTGGCACAGGTATGGTGCATGGACATGTGCAACAGTTCCCATATCATTCCCATATTAATTTAAGGATACCCCTGGCACAATCCCTGGAATGCAATCCCAACCACTCCACCCAAGGCTTACTCACTGATGGCTACTCCCAGAACTTCACCGAGTGTTGGGTTTCGTGGCGCCGTCAAGAGCATCCATCCAGCAATCGAGGCTGAGGCCCTAACTGTAACGATCCCGAGATGCAAATGACACATTCCCTTATCCCTTATCCCATATCCCTTATCCCTTATCCCATATCCCACTTCCCAGTGCATTCGAAGGGAACATGTGCTCGAGTGCGAGTGCGAGTGCGAGAGAGCGTGGGCTCTCACATTCATAATGAATGGCGGCGCGTTAACACCCCAAAACATCAAATATCTCATTTTACAAAAATTCCTCAAAAACGTCCTCTCCTCCCTTCCCCACCCACAGTCTGGGGCTCAGCTCTGCTCTGCGTGCCATTAATTAGAGCCTATCCCAAGTAGAGGACTTTCGAGTGGACGTGGACGTGGACGTGGACCCGAGCTACGCCCCGAGCTCCAGATCCAGATCCAGAGTGGAATCGTATTGTTTGTTTGTTTTTTTCATTTCGGTTTCTTATTACAACGAGGGTACTTACTACGAGTACGGGCACGGGTACGGGGACGAGTACGGGTACGGGTACGGGTATGAGTATTAGCCACTGCCAATTAGGAAACTCAAATACTTCAAATAGTGATGGTGGGATAGCAATCTACTTTATTGTGGATTTTAGTTCGGTGTTTGATTTGACACTGATACCATTATGAGTACCTATAGCACATGGCTACCCGAAATCTGTATTATTGCGGGATTCAAAAGATGATTTTCTATCTCTCAGATATACATACAAGTAAATATATTTGAAATATATGTGTCAATGCAAACATATATCAAAATTCTATTTATAATTAGATCAAGTTTCTGTGCTTGCTGCCTTGCTTTCTGCTTTGCTCTGGATTTGTAGATTCAACGATTCAACCAGATTCAAAAAGTCTCTCCAGTTACACATGTACGTGTGAATGTATTTTCGATAGTTGTTTTTCCAATTATTGTACTGCGGGTATTTTCGCCTCAATATCGGAATATATCAGAAAAGGCTTCAGCAGCCATATGTGGGCCTCTGGCCACGAAGCAGAAGCAGTGTCCGATTGGGAAGGAAGCCTTCGATCGTGGTCCGCCATGAAATCGCTTCCAGTGGCGCGAGAGGGGACGCTGCTCGGAGCACGACGAAACACTTCCAGTTTGGGGAGGTGGGCGTGCCCACCACCGAAGAGAAGGTCGTTCAGGCTCGCTCTCGCTCGCACGCGCTCACAGCAGGCCGCCCGACGGAGACGGCAGATGTGGCGTTCTCCCTGTCTTATTGGAAGGCCGGCCAATCGGGCGAACCCTTGTCGTTCGCCTGCTCTCGTGCTCCGGCTGGCACAGATGCCATCCCGCTCCCGCACCGGTTGGTCTCGTTCGCGCGGCCGGCTGCCAGTGCCAGCGAACAGTTCGTGTTCGAACGTGAATAAGTGCGCATCGCTCCGAAAACCGAAAACCCGAAACACACAGAAAACACACTGAAAACTGAAAAGCGAAACGAGTTGCCGCTGTCAGGCGTCAGGCGTCGTCGTCCTCCTCGAGAGAGGCCACTGACAGGTTGTGAAACTCGTTTTCCGTAGAGCTATCGTGTCGGACATGCTTGATAAAGTGCGTGCAATAGCTGGAAACGAACTGTAGCTTCAAAGTGCATTAAAATATTAATAAAAAAAAAACAAAACAGAAAAAATAAAAATAAAAACACAGTGCCTGGCTGGCAGGCACAGAAGAACACAGAAGACAGAACACAGAACCTACCTCTAGTTGCGGCCAAGGAAGTGCATTCGACTGGGAACGAGGCTGTGGGATCTGCCGACAGGCAGTCTTTTGAAGTACCACACCATCCTATCCTCCACACGACGACGGTACATGTGTACTTCAGAGGCGATAAGTCAGAAAATCTGTTTGTGGCAAACACTTGAAGCGAATATACGAGGATTTGCCGCCTGGCCGGCTAACAGACACCGACACAGAGAGAGAGAGAGAGAGCCGCGAATGGGCCACAGTCGGAGCCATCCAGCGTCAGAGTCAATAAAAAGCAAAGTAAACGAATAAAGAGCAAAGTCACACAAAACAAACAAAACATTTTCCGGCTCCGGCGACATTAGCAGAACTGCTCGACATCGACAATTTGTTTTATCAATTTTCAACAAGGCCAACACAGCAACAGAAACAGCAACAGCAACAGCAACAACAACAATAGAGCGCAACATCCAACAAACCAACAAACAACAAAAGCGCTCAAAGTGCTTAGCCGCGGCCCACAGTCGAGCACGCACGGCATCCACACCCACATCCACCATCCGAGAATCTGCCACCCCATCGCCATCATCATCCTTGGCAGTGTCGGTGTCGGTGTCGGTGACGGTGCCGAGAGCCCGAAGAACCCAACCCCTTGTCAAGTGTATCGCCAGCATCCCGGCAGCAGCAGAATCAGAATCAGAAGCAGCATCGGAATCGGAATCAGAATCAGCATCCGCATCCTTGCCGCGACCCGGGTCGGCGCCCCACAGCGAGGGAAGCTCGCTCGCGTGTTGCCGCTGTGCCGCCACGTCCTCCTTCACATCATCGACTCGGAGGAAGACGCCACCGACGACAATGGCTGCATATGCGCAGTTTGGATACGGCGGTTACCCGACGGCAAATCAGGTTAGTGGAACCAAGCACCGTGTCAAGAGATTATCAAATTAGAGACACACTCGCAGTCGCACTCACACTCACTCTCCGACGCGATCCGATTGATTCTTTGATTTTCGAAATACATAAATGGGGTGGGGAGGCTGGAGGGTGGAGGAGTATTATCTAATAAAATCAATTGAGTTGTATTTTATAACTTTTACGAGTATCTTAAACGAAGAGTATTCAGAAAATACATATGTCATGCCTATATTTTTGTCACAGTCTTCCCCTCGGTTTTGATTGGTGTCTCTAATAATTTAATGGAGCACATGTACATTCCATTCAATAAATAATCTGTAGAGGGGTGCTTGCTGAATTGTATTTTATGAATTTTATGAGACATGGACATGTGGCGTCTTCCATCGGTAAATGTTGTTTCTACTTTAAGATTGGCTAGATTGTGTGGAAAATCTTTAACAATTATAATTGTAGGTGGGGTGGCTCGGTATCGGTATCTCTGGCTAAGACATTCATTAACATTTTAAGCTGGTGGCAAGTGGCAAGTGGCAGCTGGCGCAGGGTTGGGGGTACATGAATATTCAAGCACTTTGGCACCGGTTGGACTCTCTCTCGGATCCATAATGGCCGCCGCAAAGAAATGTTTCACAATTTGGGACAGCCGTCACCGTCACCGTCACCGCCCGTCGCCTTGACTGCTGCAGTCTTCTGGCCTTCCTTGGGCTCCCTTCGGCTCCCTTGGGCATTGCGGTGCATCGTCCGGGGTCTGGGGCTGGGTCTGGGTCTGGGTCTGGTCATAATTACCCGCGTACGAAGCTGGAGCTGGAGCTGCAGTTGGGGGGATGTACGTACGTATTCCGAGAGCCCAGTAATTCAAATTAGTTGGCTGAGGTTTTGCAGGGTGGACATACGAGTACTCATGCAAAACCCTTTCAGTGGCTGTAGTGCCGAGGCTTGTGCAACGACAAAAGTGGGGTCTAGTGCGTCAATGTTAGACTTATGAGGTTATATTACGTTTATCCTTAGGCCGTCCGTGTCCGTGTCCGTCCCTTGGTCTTTGTGTGTGTGTGTGTGTGTGCTTCCAGACGACCAATATACATATTAAAGGCATTATGATAATGAAACTGGAACTGGACTGGGTGGGGTGGGCCATTTATTATAATATGCAAAACTTGGTAAATTACAATAATTAAAATAATGAACGACGCTCAGAGATTATCGACTTTAATTATGGATGCAGATGTGTGCAAAGTGCTCTCCGATCGATTAAAAGCCCCTACGATTGGGCTTCTTTGGGTCTTTGTTTTGCCTCCGAGCACTAGCCCCGCTAAGCCCAATTAAGACCAAGGATCCAACGATGGGATCCATGTTTTAGAAGACTATCACACAATGCGAGTAACCCAGTGATTTTGTATCAAATGTACGAATACTCGTACTCGCACTCGTACTCGTAAGCCTCGTAAGATTTATGCAGTTCGCGGGTCGGCAGCAGAGAGTGCCTTAAAAATAAGAACTCGAATTCATTAATTTAATTTTAATTTCAACGCCAAGACGGCATTCCAAATATGAGGCAAAAACGTTGACGCATGCAATATATGAATTTAATCAACGGCTGCCACTGCCACTGGTACTGGCACTGGTACTGGCACTGCCACTGCCACTTCCACTGTGCCTCTCTGTGGCAGTCAGTTGACAGTTTTCAGTGTTCGTTCAGTGGCAGACTGCGACGCGCGTATGAGGAGCACTCAGAATTCCCAACTTCCCATGCGAGCTGTTCACGCATTTCATGGCAAAATAACTAAAATTCTACGGCTGCAAAAAGCGAAGAGAAGAGCCGTCGCGACGCTCGGTCGGACAATGTCGAGTCGACTCGAGAGTCCTGAATCCGGTTGCTATATGCGTAGGCCTCTCTTTAGCTGGACCAGGGACCAGGGACCAGGGACCATCATCATTCGAAATGATGCGAGAAAAAACTAATATTTCGCCGTGTGCATTCCATAATTGATTTATGAATTTTTAATGCAAACATTGAGACCCACTGCCGTTGTCGTTGCCGTTTGCTGTTGCCGTTGCCGTTGCTGTTGCCGAGAAAGAGTTGTTCCCCCGACTCGGGCGGATGGGGACGGGCAGTAACAACTACTGGAGCCCGAAGTCAATTCAATAAGAGGAAGGAACCCAGCAAAAAACAAAGCGACTTATTCGCATTAGCACAAACGCACAACGGACCTCCTGTATCTCCCTCTGCCTCCGCCTCTGCCTCTCTCTCTACCTCTCCATCTCCATCTCTATGCGTGCAAATGTACGATACATGGGTATGGATATGGTATGGCCATCGTTTGGGCCTTGGCAGTGCCGCAATCCTGTGGATGAATGTGAGAATATGCCAAATCCAAGAGGCAGCCTCGAGACTCGGCTGTGGCTATGGCTATGGCTATGGCTGTGCCTGTGGCTCTGGCTGGGGCCAACGAACACATGTTTGTGTGTGTAGAGGGACTCCCGACTGCTGCTTCCTTCCCAGATCCTTATATTTTTCGTTTATTGTTTGGCATTGGCGATGACGTTGTACCGGCGGTTGAAGCGCCCCCATCTGCTCCTCCCCCTCCTGACAGCGGCAGCGGCAGTGGCAGTGCAGGCAATCTCTTTTGTTTCCCCAGTTGTTAGGAGTGCAAAAACAAAAATCCATAAACGCATCCCCAGCGGTAGCAGCAACAAGAGCGAAACGGCAGCCAGCCCCAATAACCACAACAAGCATTATGAACACACATCTACATCTACCATAACGATGGTACTCCACTCCAACTCCAACTCCAGCTCCACTCTACAAGCGATCTCCTTTGTTTTGCACATGCGAATACGAGTACGAGTACTCCTACGAAACGTTCACGAAATGAAATGAGCATTGGCAGGTTGGACCTGGACCTGGACCTGGTGCTGGACCTGGTGCTGGACCTGGTGCTGGACCCGGTGCTGGACCTGGCCGGGAGGCGGTTTCGTGAGCTTTAGCATAAATCATAAAATTAATAACCGTAAAGTGACGGCACCAGTTTTCCCAACATCTTGGCCAGAGTGGGTGCGGGTGGCCGTGCCGTGCCGTGGCCCCGGCGCACATCTGTGCACCAGCATCATCAGCGGAGCTCCGTTTTGGATGTGCACTTCAAAGGCAGATTTCAGATTCCAGATTCCAGAGACCTGCAGACGCAGATGCAGATGCAGATGTCCATGCCGGTTCGCTGGAACCAGAGACCCAGAACCAGACCCAGACCCAGACCCTCACCCAGACCCAGACCCGATGCCTATTGAGGTTTTATTTTCCACTTTCGCTTGCCCCGGCAGCGGCAGCGGCAGCCAGCATATTTTATTTTATGTTTGACTTGTGCCAAAATTCGACCAAGTATTATTGAAGAAATCTTATCAGCGGACCACCTCTTACCTCTAGCGAGATGTGCAGATGAGATGTCGTATAGCAGAGTAGTCCCCTGCATTAAGCATTTGAAACATTCTTGATATTAGCACCTACTATATTCGTTCATCCTTAACGAATAAATAACAATCGTTTTATGGCCTTAAAGTGTGCACATAAATGTCAAATTCATTTCGAGATGAGGGAACTAAGACTTTTGTCAACTTTAAGTACCTTGACACCGTCCTGTTCTGTCCTGTCCTTTCCGCAAAACACGAAGAAGTCATAAAAGAAGCGAAACTTTAAGTCAACTTTTAGGAGTTGCCAACATGTTTCGACACTTCCGCAAAATAGAAACTTCAACTTTGGGGGCTGCGTATTCTATCCTACTCTATCCCGTCCTATCCTATCCTATCCTATCCTATCACCTTCCGATAAACTCCAGGGAGAGGACACAGCGCCCATCACTGCACTTCCTGCAGCCATCCTGCAGCCAGTCCGAAATGCAGTCCAGAGTGGGTGAGTGGTAACCATTAAAAATAAACTGACTTGCGTGCCGATAATAAGCGCTGGAGCTGGAGTTGGAGCTGGAGCTGGAGCTTCAGGTCCGGTGGCTGTCTGAGACTCGGACCGTCCTTAGTCGGTTCTCCCCCTCCACGTCCCCGTCCACGGCCGCGTTTGGAGGTTGTCGTCGACGTTGCCGATATGTGTTTTTTATGGGCGGCCACAAAAACTGAAATTGATGTTCGAATCGCATAAAAAATAAAGAATAATAAGAAATGAGCGCGCCCAGCGTTTTGTACATTAGCAGGAGACAGGAGACAGTGCAAGGGATGGGAAGGCAAGGGAAGGGTCACTACGCGGCCACTTCTTGCTGGCTGGCTGGCTGGCTGGCTGGCTGGCTGGCTTGGCATTCTCCTTAACCGATGCCCCTGTCGACAGTTGTTCCCTGCTCCTGGACGTCCCGGGGCTGGGGCTGGAGCTGGAGCTGGAGCTGGGGCTGGGGCTGGCCAGTGTCCATCCATTCATTCAGAATTCATTAGATTTCATTCATGAAACACCTTCGTTATGCAATAATTTTTGTTGTGGTCGACGTGGTGGACTCTAACTGGCCGTCGGGCGTCTCTGCGCGAAATTGCCCTGCGATTAGATAGCCCGCAGGAGGTGTTGAAAGTCAGCTCGTTTAGGTTTGAATTACCATTATTATTTAAATCATACAGGAACATTTACTTCTGTTGGTAGCAGCACCGTCTGCTGCCAGTAGCCCCCAAAATACTCATAAGTAGGTGGCAAGTGAGCCATAACAATGGGGAAAAACGGTGGCACGACCCTTTGGGGTCCTCTTAGCGAACAATAGAGTCGAGTCCGAAGAGCAGGCGCGATCCCCATTCCAGAGACAGTGACATGATCATTCCATTCCGATACTGTCATAAGCCCTTTATTGGGGTTGCGCGCGTGAAGCGAAAATTGGAATTTGTCACGGTCGTGACAGGCAATCATCACGGTATGGGTATGGGTACGGTATGGGTATGGGTATGCGTATGGGTACGGGTACGGGTACCACTCCCAAAATAAGCCAAGGTTTTGGTAGATAGATACCGATGTCTAACCACTTTATATAGACAACTATTTGACTTATCGACAACGGCTGGAGGAGGGGAAGGGATAGGGAAAGGGAAAGGGGAAGGGGAGTAAGGAAGTTATCGGTCTTTCGTCTGTCCGCCTCAGTGGGTTCAGTTCGGGTTCTTTCTATTGCCGGGGCCAAAAGGAGCTCGTATTTGTTGTTGGCTCATACGATATGTCTCCAGTCCTCCAGACCCGACAATGATTCGTTGCGGTTATCGTCCGAGAGAGCGCATACCTGCGTACCGTACCTACTCGTACGTCTCGTCCCTCATCATTTGATTGCCCTTTAGGCCTGCCGTGTCCGTACCCATACCCATACCCGTACCCGTGCCCGTGCCCGTGCCCGTTCTCGCGATCGATCGGTCCACTGATATACTCGGGATGTGTACCCTCTTCAAAGATGTGCGATGTGCAGCTCCAGCTTCAGCTTCAGCTTCAACTTCAGCATTCGGCCGAAGAGCAGCAGTATCTGAAATCTGACTGTGATAAATTGAAAATTAATGAAGTGAAAATAGATGGAACGGATCGCAAAATGCGCCAGGCCAATAAAATATTTTGACATTTGGAGTTATCATCTTAATCTGCTTTGTTGATTTCGACCTGGCTCCGCCAGGGACATGCCTTTGCGCTTACCTCTGGTCCTCTCCTCTCTGCCTCCCGCCTCTCCTCTGCTCTTGTCTCCATTCCTCCCTTTCCTCCTCCTTTCATCCGGGCCTAGTCTTCGACCTCAAAACTTCACCTGTTTTTAAGATCCCCTTCTCGCAAAAAAATATTCCAGCCGTAGCCCTTTCGGTATTACTGAAGTGTATGTTTTTTTCTCTGCTCTTCTGTCCTTTGTAGTTGACGGCAGCTAACACCGACAGCCAGAGCGGCCATGGCGGAGGATCGCCGCTGTCCGGGACCAATGAGGCTTCCCTGAGTCCATCGGGGGGCTCGACCACAACCGGCCTCACCACAGGCCCCCTAAGTCCAGGTGCAGTCTCCCAGTCGTCGAACAATGCGGGCCCGAAAGTCATATCCACTTCTCCGACGGTGGGAGATGCGGCGGCAGGCAGCGATGTGGCTGGTGGCAGTGTATCAGCTGCGGATCTTCAGGGCCGCCGATCCGAGGGCATGTCCTGCTGCGAGAACGGACGACCAATCATCACGGATCCCGTTTCCGGGCAGACCGTCTGCTCCTGCCAGTACGATCCAGCGCGACTGGCGATTGGCGGCTACTCCAGAATGGCATTGCCCTCCGCTGGAGTGGGAGTGGGAGTGTATGGCGGGCCATATCCATCTAACGAACAGAACCCGTATCCCAGCATTGGCGTCGACAACTCGGCCTTCTACGCACCTCTGGTAAGACGAACTAACGGATGACAGAGCCACAGAGCCACAGAGCCACTAATTGGCTTAGTGCAGTCGGTGGAAGTCCGCGCACAAATGCAAGTCGACGGCTGAGCAGATATCGTCATGTAGCTGTCGGGGTATCCGAGGTATCTCGTTAGCTGCTCCGCGCGTGTGTAACTGCGGCTGTGATTACCTGGAATTGACAAATTCATAAGGCCACTCCAGTCAGTGGGCCATCCGCTGGCAGCGCTTACAAGCTCGATGTCAGCTCAGCCGCTGCTTGACTGCCTGCCGCTTGAGGGGATTCAGTCCGTCTAATTGCATTTCCCCCATCTCCCCATTCCAGAGCAATCCCTATGGCATTAAGGATGCCAACGCCAGTACCGAAATGAATGCCTGGACCTCTGCTGCAGGACTGCAGTCCACTACCGGGTACTACTCGTACGATCCAACACTGGCCGCCTATGGGTGAGTTTGCTCGTAAAGAAAATAGCTAGAAATTTAGCGGATTTTAAATGTTTTCTTAAGGAAAAAATTATTTTGCATTGAATGATTTTTTGATGATTGAAGGAATACTTTCCCTGCTATGATTTTGAGTAGGATTGTAGGTTAGGAAAGATCTCTTCTTTGTTGTTTCTCTCAGAGAAAAATGGCACAGTAAAATAAGCAAGCACGTATTTAAATTTAATATTCTTTTTTTGGAACTTAGTGAAATTAAATGGAATTCACTGTGATTTAAGGCTACGTGTACTTCAAAACCTTTTTTAATAGGGACCATATTTTAGCTAAATATAAAACACTGCGAAATTAGTATAAAATATTAAATTTGTGGGAAATGTATTCAATCTAAATACGAAAATATTTAATTTCAAGATGGAATATATTTATTTTAATTATTAAATATATTTTAATCAAATATTTCCATGTTAATGGTTTAAATGCAAGTGAAAATTATTTCTTTTTACAATTTTTACTCTCGGGGCATATAAAATGGCATAAATATTCAAATCTAAGTGAAACTATTCGGGGCTCAGGGCTTTTTTCCTGGATGCACCCGTAAATATATAAAATATTCGAATTTTAAGCACAAATAAATAGTTATATTAAATATAATTCACTTTGATTTTAACTTAAATAACTCTTTCTTTTATAAAAATGTATGTATTAGATTCTCAGGGTTTTTTTTAAAGAAAATAAGTAGAAATTTGAGTGGATTTTAAATGGTTTCTTGGGAAATCTTTCTCCTGTTTTCTGATAAGTGAGGGATCATTTTTCCAACAAGTCTAGCAAGAAGTGGCATATCTTCTTTTCTCGCTCTGAAAGTACTCCTTTCATTTGCTTAACTGCCACTCAAGTGGGGAAGGTGCGGACCATAAGTATTTCCTGAATGCTGATAACCCTATCTCACCGATTCACCGGAAGAGGGCGTTGCAATTGTAACTCTTTTTCGTGGGGGGAGGGGGTGGGGAGGTTAGGGTTGGGGTTTCCAGGCCTTAAGCAAACCCATTAGTGGCTATGATATGGAGATCGGGATCGTTTATTGACCAGTACTATTTGATTTGAACACCCGACAGATACGGCCCGAACTATGATCTCGCCGCACGGCGCAAGAACGCCACGCGAGAGTCAACAGCGACTCTGAAGGCGTGGCTGAGTGAGCACAAGAAGAACCCCTATCCGACCAAGGGCGAGAAGATCATGCTGGCCATCATCACAAAGATGACGCTCACCCAGGTGTCGACGTGGTTTGCGAATGCGCGCCGTCGCCTGAAAAAGGAGAACAAAATGACGTGGGAGCCCAAAAACAAGACCGAAGATGACGACGATGGACTGATGTCGGACGATGAAAAGGACAACAACAAGGATGCAGGCGATGGTGGGAAGCTGCCGTCTGAAGTTTTTGGTAAGTGCAGTCAACAGCCCCTGTTCCGTGTTCCCTGCTCCTTGTTCTCCGTTCTGTATTCCCTTTTCCCTGACCTCAATCAGTGCTTCAGTCTGATCTTCCCTGAATTGTTCTTTAAGCGTCCCTCGCCCCATTGATTTGAACGCCTGTCGTTTGGGCCACCGTTTGGGGCGTTCCGCCCCCACTGCAGATTTGTGGCACTGGGCTTTTAAGCACAATTTATGTGGCGAAACGAATGTTATGCAATACGAGTACGAGTATTCGTCTGCTCTGCTCTGCTCTGCCCTGCTCTGCTCCATCGTCGTCGTCCGTCCGTCCGTTTATTTGTCTGACTGCTTAGGCGACATCCTCCCCGGAAGTTGACAGCACATTGTTGGCAAAGTGGCCTTGCGCCCGTACTCTCCGCAGCCCTCTCCGAGCAAGTGGCCTTGTTCGAGTTGGCGACTTGCTTGGGTCTCTCTCGACCATCCACGTCCACGTCCACATCCACATCCACATCCCGTACCTTACCCACCGTCCAAGGGCATGGTACTGCTTGCTGCTCGAAGAGGAGGGACCACACCACGCTTCCACTGCTCGAGTAGTTGGCGGAAACTCGAGTATTTTGTTGCTGAAAGCTTTCTCCGCTGGCTGGATGGCTGGCTGGCTGGCTGGCTGGCAGTCTGGGACGTCGCGCGAGGGTTGCACGCATCAACGCCCACAAACAATTTCAAGGGTTTTTGCCATTGCCGTTGCCGTTGCCGTTGCCAGCTGCCAGCCAAGTTTTACCTCCCGAGTGCCAAGTTTTGCAGTCCTCCTCTAAGAACTTGTCTGCTTCCGCTTTAGACTTGAAATTAATTAAATTTATTTTGTGTCTCCGTTGCACATTCCAAACTCTAATCGTCAGATCCCAGCAATCAACTTATCAAATCCGAACTAGGAAAGGCGGAAAAGGACCCGGATGTCGAGCCGAAGATGGAGCGGGAGCGGGAGCCGCCGCCCCAGAATCTAGTGGCCATGCGGAGCCTGGCACCCTACGCTGCCCCGCCGATGCACGCGGCCTACAACTCGTATGCGCACTCGCAGCACCAGCAGCATCTGGAGCATCTAGAGCATCTGGAGCAGCATCCGCAGCAGGTGGCGGCACCATACTATCATTCTGGCTACGGCCAGGATGACACCAGCGAATATGCGGCTCAAAAAAACCCGCTAAGCAGAGACTGTGGCATACCAGTGCCGGCGACCAAGCCGAAAATCTGGAGTGTGGCCGACACAGCCGCCTGCAAGACGCCACCGCCTACGGCATACCTCGGCCAGAATTTCTATCCCCAAGCGCCAGCCTCAGAGCAACAGCAGCAGCAGCAGCACCACCAGCACCAGCATCAGCATCTGCAGCATCTGCAGCAGCACCAGCAGCTCCACTCTGTGGGCCCCCAGTCCCTGGTTATGCAGCCGAGCAGCATGACCATGACGATGGGGGGGCCTCAAGTCGAGCTCGGTTCGCCGCTGAGTATGATGAGCAGCTACGCCGGCGCATCGCCATATTCGCGGATACCTACGGCGTACACCGAGGCCATGGGCATGCATATCGGGCCCGGCAAGATCCCACATACCACCCCCATCCATACGGTGCACCGCGAGCCGTATCCATCGGGGCCCAACAGCCACCAGGCGAGAGTGGGGGTGGGGTTTTCCGAGATCCAGCCGGATACCCCGCCCCAGACGCCGCCCACTATGAAGCTGGGGGGCCACCACCACATCAGCAGCATCAGCAGCAGCAGCAACAGTTCTTCGATGCATTCCGCTCCCGGTCCGGCACCGGTGACGGTGGCTTCCATGGTCAACATTTTGTACAATAACAACAACAGCATTATTAACAACAACAACAACAACAACAACAGTACTATTACGGAGAATAGTGCGTACATGAGTAGTGGCGCCTATCTCACGGAGAGCCGTGCCGGATCGTAATGTGGCACCAGCGAGTGGCGGCCAGTGGCGGCCAATGGCGGCGAGTGGCCTTGAACCAGATACCAAATAGTACCATATACCACACTACTACTTACACATTTCAAATACACAAACACAAACAAACACACAACACACAAAACAGCCAGGCCCGAACACGGACAAGTGCAAGAGTTCGCAGAGATGCCAACAATAACGATAGCGATAGCGATAGCGATTACTACACTAATTATTTTGCAATAAATGTAGCTTAAGTATGGCAATAAAACTTTTTTTTTCCTACCATATCATAAATTATTTCACTTTATAACTTTAATTAGCATATTTACACTCTCCACTCTCCGACTGAAGTTTTCAGACAAGCGAGAGAGACGCACACACACGTCGCGCTGCCTGCCGCCTGCCTGCCTGCCTGCCAGTCACATCGTAAGGAGGGGGCGGGCGGGCGTGCCCGGTTCTGGAGTGTGCTCGAGACAGAGACACAGCAGTGTGTTTGTCATGCCGTTGGGTTTGAGTCATTCGGCTCTCCGTTCCGAGTTTAATGACTCGAAATAAACGCACACCACACCACACCATACCATGCCACACGAAAGCCCCCCGCAACACAATGAGACTCTGCCTTGAGAACAGAACTCATTCATCTTTTCAGTGCGGTGTGGTGTGGTGTGGTATGCTGTGGCCTCAGCAGCATCACATCTCAATACAAGTTTCAGAAACATCCATACACTACATCGCCGTGTTATAAATCACTCGAACTTTTTGTCTTAACTTGTATTGTACACAAACTTCAAACTTCCTCCTACCTACCTACCTACCTTAAGTGCTTAATCCACAATACTTAATAACATTAAACGGCAGCTACCGCCTAAGCCTAAGCCCCCTATTGTAATCGTTCAAGTTGTATTAGAGCCTAAGTCCTATAATGCGGAAGTGCGGCATGCGGTGTGCGGCACACACATAAGTTTCTCTATCGTTCAATCAAACATATACACAGATATTTACGAGTATACCATTAAACTTTTTCTGAACGGAGTTTTGACTTTTGAAATATAAGAAATAGTCGGCCAAATACATATGTAAACGTGCGTGCAACCATGATTAGTAATTTATAATTCAAGATATCTTAGTCGTATATTAAAATTGTAGAATGGATATATAAATTTTTTTTGTTTTTTTTTTGAAGTTAGCAACTTTTAGCAAAGGTATCCCTAGTATCTTGTTCTAACTTATACGAAATGTAGGTATGTAAGTAAAATTGTAGACAAAATGGAGTATCTGTGATATATGCATATAAATACATATATAAACGATCGATCAGCAGCGGTATTACCTACACATGCCACACGTACATACACAGTTAATTCACATTAATTCTTTAGCTATAAGAAGCACAGCACCCATATATTCGAAATCATTTTAAACGCTAGAAAGTATCTGTAAATAAATAATCGATGCAAATAAAATAAAGTTTCATTAACACAACATATGAATGTCCAACGAGTACTCTGTGTTCCCTAGTATTTCTATTGGGTGCCTGCAGAACAGATCCAACGGATAATGCTATATATTTTCCAGCCATTCCAGCATTTCCTGCACCAGAGTTTTGATCCAAATTCGCCTTGTATGGTAAGTGGGGTCGGCATTGGGGGGTTTACCAAAGTTTTTTCGAAGGTCGAAACCTTAAGATTTATGTATATTACGAAGAGATCAAATGTCAATCTGTAGTACAGTGCTTCGAATTATCCGAATCCGTGGAATTCTCTGGCTAAGCTGCTTTTTGGGTAGGGTAGGGTAGGTCGATAATTATTTCGACATCCACGATTAATTATTTTCGTTTATTTATGTGACACACGACGAAGAAACACATCAGTCCCATGATTGAATGTATCTATACCTAAATCTTTCTTCGAAAAAATGCTCTGAATGCGACCGCTCCCATGTTGCTATTGCCATTAATTAGAGATACATTGGGTCCGAACACAGAAAACTGAACATACATAGAAACTATATACCCATGTCTATGTGTATATGCATATGCACATAATTGAAATATATCTAAAAACTTTATTATGAAACAAGATAGAGATTAAAAATAAGAAAACTTAGACCAAAATTAGTGGCCGGAAAACCGGAACCGGAATAAAAGGAATAAGAATTAGAACGATTTTTTAGGTGGGAAATTTTTGTATGGTGCGGCATGGCGTGGATTTAATTGTTATAATTTTTGCATGCCAAAAACAAAACTATACTTTGGTTAATTTTAGAGGAAAGAAAAGAAATAAAAGGAAAGGTGGTAAACTCTTTAAAGCCTCGACGGTGCAGCGTATGGACATGGACCTGCGAGAACAATTAGATAAATTTTGTGATTTTGAAATTAGCTGTTTGAATCACGGTAGCATCTGCAGTCAATTGCACTCTTTCGGAAATGCATATGGTCACAGTCTGGGATGCAACTGCCGCCTGCAACTGGAACTGTTCTGTTCCGTTTCCCCCAAACCCCCAAACCCCCACTCAACCCCAAGCCCAAACCCATCGCAAACCCCAACCCCAGCCCTGGATCATTATGAGACGATGGTGCACCATGGACTTTTGTCGGCTGCTGCTGCTGCTGCTGACTCTCTGGCTATTTTATCCGCAGAGTGGAAAATGACAACATTAATTTTGGGCTTTGTCCTGTGCGAATCGCTGGCTGGGCCACATTTTAAATTAACCCGAAACATGTTTAGGGGTTTTCCGCACAATTGCCCCATCGCTGCACTGTGGCAAGGGGGATTCCACACTTTACGAATGCTGCACCACGGACAGCAGCATCGGATGCGATGCTTTGGGGGTGGATGCGGATGTAATTGAAAAGTCAGGAACAATAAAACGTTTCTAATACATACGACAATAGACAGTGCTCAAGGGCAGGCCTGCATCAGTTTTTAATTGATTGGGGAACCTACGTAGAACTTTTTTCATTATTTTTTGGCAGTAAAATGCAATTAATTGGGATAAATGTAGTCGTCCTGTTTGCCTGGTCTGTAATCTCCACTGTTCGATTGAACTATCTTCAGAGACTATGACATTTGATCAAAAACTATGTAAAGTGCTACAAATAGTGATGGCAGGATTATTTATGTTGACAGGACTCGGGATACAAAAATTTCAAGTATTCGAACTCAAAGTATAACTATTCTTATTTTTAGAGCTAGGATTAGAAGTTAGAATCTCAGATGGAAGAGTAGTATTTGATGCAAAAGAGCTAAGATAGTACGAGCAATAACGGTCTATGGCCTGTTCAGTTCAGTTATTTTTATTTAGTTTGTTCCTGCAAAACAGAGGGACTTGTCGCGTTTCCATTTGACAAGACCACATTTGTGTTGTGGGCGTGTGTAACGAATCCGGGACGGGACTGAAACATGAACAGGTCTATTGGGGCTTGAGGACGCACACGTAGAACATTATTCGGCTACAAAATGGCCAAAACAACAAACCGCTATAATTTACCATATTTTATGGCTGCGCTGTGGCAATAAAATCGCCAACAAGCTCTATAACTCATTCTAGAGCGCTGGCTGGCGCTGCAGGGCGGCCGCGGTAGTTGCCTCCGCCGCTGGTTACACCCGGGTGTACGAACGTGGACCTTGCAACTTCCGCGGTTGTGCAACCCACACACACACACACAGATGCACACATACACTAGCGCATGGACACAAGAGCCCGTGTATGTGGTTGGCTTTTAAACGGCTGAATGCTCCTGATGATGGAGTTGGAGCTGGGGAGCTGGAGAGCTGGAGCCGAGCTTTGGGGCCCGCAGCTCTAATTTGTACCTCCAATACCTCTATCGTAAGTATTTTCGAAATTTATCTATGCAGAAATGTGCATTGATGGCCAACATGTTTATTGCTTGGCTGTCGTCGTTTTGCAGTTGCATTGTCGGTTGTCGGTTGTCGATTGTCGGTGGCTGTTGGGGCGCCGCCAGGCTGAAAATCAACTGAGGAAATCCCGAAAAGTGGAGTACAAAACTGCACAATTTGCAGGCGGCAGGCGGCATGCGGCAGGCAGTCCAGTCCCACGGCAGTCGGACGCCATAGGAGAGTACATTTAATTAATATATTTAAATTGAGTTGTTCCATCGCAAGGACACTATCCACCCCCTATCACCCCCGCCCCGCCCCACCCACTGTTGGCTATAAATAGTTGGCTCCGGGACTGATACGTGTAAAAATAAAATTGAAATTGTTTTGTGGCTTCTGCCCAAAAGGACGCGTGTCGCCATTTTTGCATTTACCAAATGCTGCTGCAAAAAATAGTAAAATAAAAAATCGCCACTGATCGAACCCGAGTGTCCAGGGCCTCCTGGTTACATGGTTAGCTTTAGGCTCCACAACAGCAGCAGCTGCTGCAGACCGCAAAACAGTCTAGACAAAAAGTGTACGTATCCTGGAAGGAAGAGCGGACTGGCGCTGGGGCTGAGTGGGGAAGTCGAGGGTCGGGGGCGGGGCTGCCTCCGCCTCGTGCGTGCCGCGTCTGTAAACTCTGGCTGGCTGCATCAGCGATATTCGAGCAATGAAGGATCCCATTGGGGCTTGATGTACGAATAATTTAAATATTTAATTAACACATTCCGACGGCCAGGAGCAGGCTGGGGATCGCCATAGCCAGGGGCTTCGCGCGTGTGTGTACAATTAATGCAGGAATAGGCGCAATTAAGTTTGTCGCAGTCCGCACGGACAGGGACAGTGACAGGGGCAGCGGCAGGGGCAGCGGCAGGGATTGTGGCAAGCGCGCTTATCTCGTGATTCCGATCGAGCTTCAACCTCGGCGAAGGCGGTCGGTGGCTGCTGGGCCTCTGGCCTGACAACGCACTTGCTTCCAGGGCTCGCTCTCGCTCTCGGGCTGGTCGGCAACCCAAAGATTTATCTGCATCCGGTGTCCAGTTACCGTGCCCGTACCCGTACCCATACCCATACCCTTTCCCGGGCCACTGCCACGGCCACTTCCACGGCCATTCAGTTTGAATGATGCGCATCTTAGGCATTTTGGAAGTAAATTTGTGTGCAAATGGGCTTTTTATTTGGCTCATGTTTCTTCCAGCGATGGCTGTCTCTTGGCCAGACAGTGCCTGCCCGGCCAGTGTACCTGGCTTTGGCCAACATCTCGCTCTCATATTCTGCCACGAACAGTCGCACAGTCGAGAGTTCGCCATCATGGGATCATGGACTGGAGATCATGGGCAAGCTACAATTTTGTGGTAGCGCAGCCCCAAAGCTCCACGCAAAACTATCGTTGACCGGACAGTGAATTGGCTACATTTGCGATATTGCGACTGAGTATCTCATAATCAATTATTTAAGTACATTGAATGTTCAGTTTGTGTGCGCTTAGGGGAAATGCCATGAAAACTTATAGCGATAATTTTGCAATATGGTTGTCGGCAAGCCAAGATATTTGGGCTAGAAAACTATCAGTGAAGAGCTGCCGATCTAAATAAACATTGATTTAATTTGCGTGAGCATTTTGACAACAATTTGAAACTATTCAATCTTCGTGAAATCCTGCTCAAAAGCTGATCCAAACAGATCTAAGAGCAGCTTAGAAAGATTCGTTTTCCCTGATTAATAAAGGTGGATCTTTACTATATATTCCGGGTATAAAACGCCTGTTGTATTGCCACAATGTACCAGCCTTTTTGCGGCAAGTTTGTACATTAATTTGAGCTCCAAGATCGGGTCATTACATCCCATAACTGACATAGAAACTATCTTCGCTTCAGAGGTGCAAATGAGTTGCAAGTCCAACAGTCCATATTTCATTTTTTTAGAAGAGAACTCACCTTTGAAAGATTGAATTCCGATCATATGCGAACTTTTCATATGGATGGACTTACATTGTAACAATTACCTTCGTCCTACTCGGAAATTAAGAGCTCTGTGGCTCTCTGCTTTTATTGATAAGTAGGACTAGCAAGGATTAGTGTTCTTTCATGCGAACCGAGCAGACTAAAACCTTTTAGTCTATTACTATTATTAGTGGGTAACGAATAAAAAAAGGAAAAATAGAATGGACATGCAGAAAGGACAACGGTTGAAAGTTGAGACCAGAAAAGTCATTTGCTGGCTCGTTCGACAAGATGTTTGTTCGTTCGGTGAAATAAAGTACACACTGTCTGGCCGGACAGGCAAGGACAGGAGAGGAGAGGACAGGACAGGACAGGACAGGACAGGAGGAGTAGCAGGAGCCGAAGGAGCAGCAGGAGCAGCAGGAGCAGCGGGTGCCATTGAGCACTCAGGGACATTTGGGATAACATGCGAACACGGCATATTTGCTGAGGATACAAAACGCCAAACGCTGTCGTCTTCCGACCGACCACTCAGCCAGCCACTAGGTAATGAATGGATGCGCATGCATGACATGGATGCAATTTTCGACAGAGAGTAGCGCAGGATAGGCCGGCGAGGACGGCGAGGACGGCGAGGCAGGCCCCTTTTGAGCCTCTGCCTGATTATCTCATGTTCTGTGCACTCCCCCTCCGCCCAGCGTCTAACATGCATACCCCCCCACCGTAGTTTTGTGTGTGCACGGGATGCTGCTGCTGCTGCTGCTGCAGGCTTGTTTTCGGATCGGTTGGGGCCACGTTGCAACGTTGGCATTATTTAAGCACTCGATATCGATGTACAGCTTCTTTAATCAGTCGAGCTGTCAACTTTATGCACAATTTTTATGGCAAATTTGGCAAGAAGGTGGCATAGGTGGCATAAGGGGTTCTGGGCCTGGGCCTGGTCCTGGTCCCAGGTCCTGTATCGAAGTTTTAAAAACATTTTACAAAGGATCACAGGATGTAGAGTGCACATAGATGGCAATGTTCCACATTTAGTTGAAAGGAAGAATATATATACATATATACTACACACATCGGGGGTATTTATTTCGGGATCCATGAACATGTACTAATTAAAACCTTGCCAAGTCTATGAGCAAAAGTTTTAACCCAAAAACACCAAGACAGTGGAAGCATGGGCCATGGCTATGGCTATGGCTATGGCTATGGGTATGCCACCATCCATTCCGTTGCACCAAGGGGCGGAGCGTTTCCCCTCTGCGCCTGTTCCAGGCCACCTTCTGGCTGGAAAGAGTAGTGCGAACCGTGACTGCCTCTGTGCGTCCGTCCCTTTCGCACACGGCAGGAGAAACCTGTTTCCACTGCCCATGCGCCCCGTGGGCCATGCAACCCCCGCTCAGTTTTGCAACCGACTGCGGCAGCCAGAACTAAGTGCGGCACAGCGAGCGAGCGCGAACATGCAACACGACTAGTATGCTCTCGAGCTCGGTAATGCGCACATCATGGACGAGAGTGGGCGCGCAAGGCACAGGCACAGGCATAGGCACAGGCACGGCCACAGGAACAGGCACAGGCGAGCGACCCTCGCCACGACCCAGTCGGCGGGCGGGCGCACGGAACAGGTTGCCTTGCGGCAGGGTGGGATGGATGTGGTGTCGTCGTCATCGTCTTCATCGCCTTCATCGTCTTCGATTGTGGACTGACAACAGAGGAAGTGATAGATATCGTAGCATGTGAATCCCAAAGTGCGTGCCCCTGATTGGGCCAAGGCCCAAGGCCCAAGGCCCTCAGGTCTCTGCCATTAGCTACTCGACATGTTTACTTACCAGAGACAGACTGCTTCAAGCATTCACCTTTGGCCAAGCCGCTGCCAAAGTGCCAAAGTACTACGCAACAAATTTTTTGAGTGTTCAAGTTTACTGTCACGTGCTTTTCAGCGTCTCTGTATAACGGCGGCGCTGTATAACGCTTCGACCTCCCTCGTGTATGTGGAAGCATTACAAGTGACCCGTCAGCGTGGACTTTGCTACCCGGTACCCCGGCCCCCCGCCCCCTTGACTTCTGGCCCGAAGAAGACAGTTCATTTTCAGGTAAATAATAGATTTAGTAGTGTTTCAATTGCTGGTACTATTTATAGTTTCTCTTTCAAATAATGTTATAGTGGATATAGTATTTATATTATACCCAGAGAAAAACCTGAAATATTAATATTTACTCATAGATTTAAAAATGCCTACCAACAGATTTGATCCGAGAGTGGAAATTGTACAAAAAATTTGCATTTTGATTGCACAAATATTTGATTTAAATATGTTTAATTTTACAATTAAATATATTTCATATTTAAATTAAATATTCACATATTAAGTTTAAATAGATTTGCTACAAATTAAATTAAATATATATTTATTTTAAAGTTTTTAATATTTAGATTACATTTGTGCCATATTAAAAAGACTTTTTTATAGGGAATTCCATTTAATTTTAATTTGTTTGTACTTAAAACCCCGAATACATATTTATCTTATTAATGGGTGTGTTTCTTTTGAGCTGTGCCATTTTTCTCTGAGTGTACAGATAGGCATTTTCTTTAATTTAATTGAAATTCAAGATGTCAAAGGGTTCATTAGCATAATCAATATTTCACAAGATTTAATACAATGCAATACAAAACAGCAAATGTGTAATGTGGTGCCATTGTCCTAACAAATGGTCCCCACGAATTTGTATCTGCAGAGACCACCTGTGCTTAATAGTCAGAACTTAACGAGTAAACACAGGCATTCTTACGCTATTGAATTGATTTGGAGTACATAAAAAGTGAGGCAGTTCCATTCAATGGGTTTTGAACAGACCTTCTCCAGCTCCCAAGAGGTTTCTCTCGCTCCTGTTATGATGGAAGACCACGCTATATGTTCGTCGCGTGTCTGGGACCATAAACAGAAATTGTTTCGCAAAACGCCTCCGTCGCTTTTGCAAAATAAAGCTAAAGAAAGAAAGAAGCAAAAAAAAAAAAACAACAAAAAATTATCATGAGCTAAATAATCATATTCATAAATGTACTTTTACCATTTTCCCCCCCGCCGCCGCTGCCGCTGCCGCTGCCGCCACGTCTCGACCGCGTCTTAGCCACCCTTAGCCTAGGCAGTTATTCATCAGCGCATCATACTCGACTCGTAGTTGTACTCGTACTATATATAAGCGTTCGTTCGTGGCGTCGATGATACAACCGATAAGGGACCAATTTTTGCAATTGCGGCGCTGGAATTTTTAATTAGTTCGGGAAAGCCGCAGCCGGCGAGGAAGCGGCAATTCACTCACCGTCTTGTTATGGTCAGAAAAAAAGAGAGGCAGAAAGGCAGAAGAAGCCGAGAACGAAATAATATCTTTCGAAGCGCACACGTAACCTAAAAATTAGCATACTGTTGCCGCAGTAGAAGGCAGGCTTCCCTGAGTAGTGGTGCAGTAGTGTAGGCCCTGAAGTTGGCCATAAAATGTATTAAGTTAAAGTATGTGTTAAGTGCACACCACACACCACACACCACATGTCAGATGTCGATATCTTGCACTTGTGCTCAAAACCTGCCAATATTTGCCATTTCTTGGGCTTTTTTCCGACAGATATTCTGATATCTAAATAAGGTATGATTTGTGTTTGCTTTTCTATGGCAAATAGTCATGGCATAAGGCGTGGTGTTGGGGTGCTACTCAACGGCTGGGTAGTCCTGTCTGCGGTTAAGAAAAATTGGCGGCAGCAGCCGACGAAGTATGGAATAATTAAAAACAATTCAATTCGCAATTTGCACCATAATAAAAATAAATTACTTATTCATTTATGCTGAATATAACCGCTAAACTGCAACTGCAACTGCAACACCGCAGATCTCTGCGACGGCGAGTTGGGCCACATGCAACCGACCGGCCGACCGACCGACCGACCGGATTGCACCCAAGTGCAGTGGAGCAAGAAGTTGGACCTACATGAAGGGTCATTGCCTGCTTTTTGGGTGTGGGAACTGCTAGACTACGAGCGTATACCATATCGTCGATTGATGGAAGCCGATGGAAATAGATTTCTTTACAATTTTTGTTCTCTTTTTAACCTTTCTAATGATATGTATAATTTCAAGGAGCCAGTGTGATTTTGGGTCAGTTTCTGCGTATCTCAAAAAATGTACATACATCTTTTGCAAGAAATTAGAGCGCAATTGAATATTCCTACTCGAATCGGAGGCGCCGCCTGCCGCCTGCCGCCTACCGCCTGCCGCCTACCGCCTACCGCCTACCGCCTCAGTCTGTTAACATGCAACACTCGGTTTCGTGTTCAACTGAAATAGAATTTTCCATTCGTTGGCATCCATCCTCTTACACATCGTACGATTAGGCGCTGTGAAGTTTTCCAACCACAATACTTTCAGCGAAATGCATTTTTATGAACACCAGCACGCACTTGCACATTTCTCTTAAAAACCCTGATTAAGAGTGTAAATTATTGCGAAAGCTTGCAAATTTCTACATAAGCATATTTATCAAAAACTCTCAAACCTTTCTCACAATTAAATCAGGAAAAAAGACCGGCCTCAAATTGATTCTCATAATGGAGAAATTATATTATTTAAATCTGAAAGAGCCAATGGCAATGGCTGAGAATGAATTTATGTTGGCCCTTGCCCAAGGATGCATACGTACATACTCGTATATGTTATATATGGCTAGTGCTGCGATGAGACTCCTACAAAAGCATACAATTTTAATTAAAACCGACCGGCGGTGTCACTGACAAACAACAAACAGCCAGCAACAAAAGCAACAAAAGCAAAAAAAAAAAAAAAACGCAAAGGAACGATCAGCTGAGAAACAGGTTTGCTCTTTTCCTCTTTTTAAGGAACCAACCTCATTCACGGGAGCGGCCCCTACACTGTTGTTGTTTTAAGTGTTCGTGACAGCGATTAAGCTGCTCATTCGGTTGGCACGCTTTTTGTGGCAGCACAGCCCCTGCTGTTATTATAAAATACCAGACTCCAATTGCAGGAAGTGCATTTTTTCTAGCCAAATTCCTATGTAATGTCTTTATTATCATCCTTAACTTTAATATCCACCCAATTTGTACACAATATGAGGCATCACAACGTTGAAACGTTAGATATTCCATAAGGCTTGTGCTTTGGTTTGCACTCTTCAAGTGTCCTAGCTGTCCTTAATGCAGGACATGCTGTAGTCGGCTATTGGCCAACATTAAATTCAATTGCCTCTCGTTTCCCGCTGGTCAGGTGGAGAGAGGGAAGGACCGCAAAGTTCGTCTGGCGTAGGCGGATGAAGAATATTGAATTTACAAAAAAATGTGACTGCTTTCATTGCTGTTGGTTTATCGGAGGTGGCATTCCCTTTCCCTGTCCCTTCACCTTCCCCTTTTTTGTACATTGTGTACTGTCCATGAAGTGCAACCTTTTATTTAAATGTTAACAATAAAAATGAATTTGCATTTATCGATTTTCCTTTCGGCTGTCGAGAGGAGGAAAACAAAATTAAAAGAGGTCATATCCAATATTCTCGTGGCGAGAGCCACTCCTCGTCGCGAATCAGTAATCCCACTGAAAACTGGCTAGACTCTGCTTCGAACTGAAGAGAACCCGATGGATTGATCTCTCTGTGGTCTAGGTGTTGTAAATAATAATAGATACATATATGAAAATCTCGATCTATATATATGTACTTAGAGTATACTCCAAGAGAATGGCATGGCAACATGAATAGGGGGTTCATACAAAAACCACAAAAAAATATTCGATTTTTAAATCCCAACATAGTAAAATTGGGTGGAATTTACTTTGAGTTAAACGCAGATGTATTAAACTATTTAATCTAAACGCTTCAAAATAAATATCATATATTAATGTAAGTAAAAGTACTTTCCTTTTAAAATTTCCACTCTCGCTGCAAATCAATTGATATGTATAAAGAGGTACATTTTCTTTAAAATCTACAAAAGTGTAACTATTCGATTCTCAAGGGTTTTTTTCTGGGTGTTGTGTGTTCTGCTCCATCTCCATATATGCATCTTTAAAGGAGAACATTTGGCAATTTAGTAACCAATTAATGCTAATATCGAGTGAGAATACACATATGTATATGGATAGTATGTGGGCACGAGTACTGTCGGTGTCTATTCGCATTTAATGAGCCTGTTGTACACACTATTATAGTTGGCATTTAAATTCAAGATACCTGAACACTGAATACAGGGGGCAAAGCACATGCCCCAACACAGACACAACAAAGAGCAAGAGCTACCCGTATATGTATGTATGTATGGACACTTGTACGAGTATGTGTGTATGGTACATAGATTCTACAGTAACGTAACCGTTTGTTAAGCCTTTGTCTAGCAGCCATTTTAAGGGCTATAAAAAACTCGAAAAGTTGTAGGAACAATGTAGACAGCGTGTTTTCATTTTATGCGAATTAAGCTGCCACTTGAACAACTTACTTTGCCTCCACCAGCGACTCTGGACTGGACCGCCGGGACCGAAACTGACGACGACACTGACACGGCGCCAGTCCAAGGATCACACCCACTCAAACACACACCCGCACACACACACGGGGCATATCAGGATGTGTAGAGACTACAGACTAGAGATGGGCCAGAATGTCCAGATTTTTAATGACTGTTAGGGCATACAGTAAACTGATTAATTCCAATAATATTAACCATTATATTTAGCATTATCTTTATAAGAAAATAGTATTATTTCTATCAAGTACTGAAGGAATTTACAGACGTGAGAGCTTATCTATAAGAATGTCACTAATAATAACCATGTGATCCTTGGATAACTTTACAAATATCGTGGTATACTTTTAGGATGCTTTAAGGACACGGATTGCTTGCATTTCCTACAGGGCATCAAAGAGGACGTCGTCGACAGCCCGCAAGGGATACAGTTGTTAACGTATACAAGGGGGAGGCGTCGACTATGGCGAGGACGAAAACACAAACATGGCAACCGAGCACCGAGCACCGAGCACCGGGAAGGGTCCGCCTCTGCCTGCTCTCGGCTGCAGTTGAAGGAATGGAATGGAAACGAAACGAAAGGAAAGGAGCACTTTATGTGCATATAATATCTGAATGTTCGCCGCACCATCCTCAGCCACACACACACACACGTACACACACGTACGATCCACCCAGCCAGACAGACACATGTATACGTAGGACACAGTGTCATCCAAGTTGCGGGGAATTGTTAATATTGTCTGTGCGCCTGTAAGCAGCATTTACATGCTGGCCGACACCACGTACCACGTCCTGGCTGATAGAAGAGCTCATGTGTGGCTGGTGCCCTCTCTGACGGAACGGAAGGGCTCTGCTAGCCGCTCGGCTTTAAGTAGGCGCACTCTGGTAGCAGACACTGTTTTAAAAAATACCTACATACTTGCATATATTTCGCAGATGCTGTACGAGTATCAACTTATGAAGCTGGCCGCCGCTTTCATTAGATCCAGAGGATGAACCTAGTTCAGAACTTGTCTGGGTGAGTGCATACATTCCTTCCACACACATACTCGTACCTAAGAACATGTATATAATACATATGTATACCATAAAGTGCTCCCTTTAGTAAGTTCGCCTCTGCTTTGCAAATACGAGTAATTAACAAACAATGCTGCACTACTGAAAGAGTTTCTCTGGTTGGAAACGAACGATTCTTAAATTTAAGATGGGATTTTTGCCATTTTCGGAATGTTAAGTCCCCCGTTTAAACTTCAAAGTGTTATCCCAAAAGGTGCACATGGAACATGAATATCTTTTAGGGGCTTAGCTGTTTAGGGGTTCTGGGGTTCAGCGGTTCAATGCTGCCGCTGCTGACAACAATACACTCCAATAATCGATCGGATTCGGTCCTGAAACATCTTAGGTACTCACTGGCATCAAAAATAATGATGCGAAAGTAAATGAGATGTGCCATTGAATTCAAATGGCGTGGGATGCATGTGAAATGATACGCACATACCCCTACGGACGGATACGGATACGGATAGGTACGAGTATATGTATGTACTATGTGGCGGGCTTTTCGCACATGTGTGTGCCGTGCTGGCTCTGTACATATTTCAGAGAAGTAAGTAACACACATGGCATGGTAGCATGGCATGTAGCAGCGCACTCATTTACCGCCTACTCTCGCTACTGCCGGGAGTCATTCGTCAGTCAATCCGTCGTCGTTCGTCGTCCCGTCCTCTCCAGCGACCCGGACCCGGACCCGGACCCGGGCCAGGACCAGGACCCGGACCGTGTTCCATCCGGGCGACGCAACCAGCGCGCACATTCGTCAGAATTTGCATTTCAATTCGAATGTCAGGATGACGGAGCGTCGAATTTGGGTGGCAGTGGCATCGGAATGAAAATAAATCACGCTGCTTTACCGCATAGGCAACTGGGGGATGGGATGGGGGACGGGGACGGGGCCGCAACGCACCACAAGGGGCGAAACAGAGCCACCATTAAGCCAAAACAGAGCCTGGGGCGGGGCACGATTGAGAGGTGGCCCCTCATCCTCTGCGAACTCATTTATTCGCATTTTTTTGCAAGAATGAATGTGGAAACTTTTTCGCCATCATTTTGAATGATGTCAATTAGATTGATTTGATCAGCGAAAATATGTGATTTATCAGACAGCAACAGTGGCTGGGCGGGACCAGGCACCAGGCACCAGGCACCAGGCTCCAAGCTCCAGGACATTCATCGTTCCATCCCCTATACCCACATCTCACAACCCACATCCCTCCCTGAAGCTCAATTCGGATGCGTATTCGTATACGTATGAATATCTAATGTGGCGTACACGTACGTAATCAGCTCCGTTCGTTCATCTATGTATGTATGTATGTACGTATGTACTTCAGCAATCAGTCATCTAACTATTTCCAAAGTCTTAGTCAATTTGCCGACTCTAGGAATAGAACAAAGCATCAGTCTTTAAAGACAGACAACGTGTGTTTAAGCAAGAAAATGCTGGAAAAATCTTCTATGCGATTTGGGGACAAAATGTGTTTAAAAAAATTCATTCTAAATGGCTAAATATCTTTGGGTAATCGAAATGTGATGGGATTTCAATAATTAAACACCAGAAAATCTCACAATTAGTTAAACAAGCGCCACTATTTGCACAGAAAACAAACCGCAGGCCCCTTAAGGACGAGCAATAACTTATGCCAGGATTCGGGCAGGAGTACGAGTACGAGTATAACTATCGTATTAAGGGATATTTGATTAACCGCTCTCTGCTGGCGTTGTTTGTGGGAATATAATGAATCCGCCCCCCCTCTCGTAGATGCCACCCACACGTTACTAGCAACGCCTACGATATTAATAAAGCAAAGCATTGGGTGGAAGCACTTGCGGGTGCCATAGAAAGCAAATAAAATAAATCAAATCGGGAAATGGAAATGGAAATGGAAGGAAAAAGAAAATCGCAGAGTCTGAATCAAGGCAAGTGTGTAATAGGGGGCTGGCAGCTACGAAAACAAAGGGGAGCCGTGTTTGGCACCCAAAATTTATGCGCGCGCTCTTTGCCCAGGCCGCTCCCACGCAATGTCACCCCCCACCTTCCCCCCGCCCTTTGGCCTAGTCGGGAGGGTGGGGGTAGGTAGTAGATCTGTGGATGGGGAAAGGGGCGCTGGTCCTGGTCCTGGTCCTGGTCCTGCGGTTGCGGGTTGGTCCTTTTCGGGGGTGGATACATGTGTCAATAACTCATTTTCAAATGGAAATAACATCAAATAAAATTCGCGCTACTGTGTCGCCGTCTTCCTTGACTTTTCCCTGGCCCCGGCTGCCTGCCACTGCCACTGCCACTGCCACTGCCACTTCCATGTGTGTCAATCCATTCTTTTTGTTTCGTTTCGTTTTTTTTTTTTTGTTTGTGTCGTTGTCGTTGGTCGTGGTTGGGCAATGGCCCTGTGACTGATGAAATATCGTGACAAGCAGTATAAAAGCTATTAAAGTCGAGTGTAGATGGCGCTACTTGAATTTGTCAAAATGTCTTTTTACGCGCTTGAGGCGCAGCAGGCACAGACAGCCAGCCAGCCCAGCCAGACCAGCCTAACGAAAATACAATACACGCCTAGACCCAGAGTGAGAGAGAGAGAGTCGTTTCTACAGGTTCGTGTGACCCCAACCCCCACGTTAGACCCAACCCCAACCCCGCATAAGTCATGGGAACGGGTGAAGCTTTGATTGATGCCGATGTGTCACGCAGGCGCGCATGTGGCTAATGGGCGGTTGCCGTTGCCGTTGCTGTTGCTGCCATTCTGGCACTCCAATGTTCGATGTTTCAGCATAGGGATATACTCGTATGTGGGTGGGGTGGGAGACTGGGGCTCCTTGCAAATCATTTGAATGATGTTGCCAATTGGGCCCTGCTTGAACTTTTGGCTTAGGGAGCTATCTTATCGAGTCCTAGAACATTGCTTGAGAGTTAGATTCAAAGAGTGAACTGGCTCAAGTCAACCCCCCCCCCCTTCCCACCGCCATGTATGTGTTTTATGCGGTTCGAGTTCGCTGGGGACGAGGACAGGGGAACGGATCGCCCGTGAAGTACGAGTAATGTCCCGCTGTTGCTCAAGAGGCGTCCGTCCACAAATAAACGCGCCCTGACCGATGCGCGCCCCAAATGCATCAAAGTAACGAGCTCAAGCTGCGCGCCACAGCCTCGCCTGGAGACTGGAGATGTCCTCTATACGAGACTGGCGCCCACAGTTGTGATATATGAAATTAACTTAATAAAGCAATGAAATATCGCCCGCGAATGAAACGCGATTCCAAGGCGATCCAAGGCGATTCCAACGCGAATTGCGACTCGATCAGCAGGCGCTTTGTGCCTTGCTGCGACTGCATAAATTGTGGCACTTTAGGGACCCAGCTAACGCCGAGATGTGGCACCCTGCAACACCTCAGGTGTCTGCTGGTTTTTGCCTTTGTATCAGCCACAGTATCCGGTGACTAATTGCCCTTTACCGTGGGCTTTCAAATTGGACCTGATTGGAGTACAAAAAGAAGCTGCATGAATATTTCAAAGGGCAGGGCAGAGCAGGGCAGGGCATAGGGCGTATGGCATTGTTTTATATCAAACTTTGGGGATTACATAATGCTAGATTGCTCATGGGAATTAGTATTCTTTTTTCGGATCATAGATACTTACGGATGTGATCCGAATCTGTGGCCTCAGTCCTGTTGATAATTCTGCCCGGATCCACATCGAAGAGAGGCTTCTCCTTCGAAAGCAGAGAGGCACAGAGGCACCTGGAGAATTAGCTGGATTAATTGAGCCATTCAGGGCCCAAGGCAGAACAAAGATAATGTCCCCCAGCGTTTTCGCAAACTGATTCCCAACTAATAGATGAATCTAAACAGAAACAGCTGATCGGAAACAACTATTTTTTGGGATCTTCGGTTCGATTTCATTGAAAAGTTTCTTTGGCAAAAGAAATTTTGAACCAGTCTAACGTCGAATTCCCTTGAAACTTCAGCTGTCGAATTGCATTCGAATGGAATTAAAAGTGGTGATGGTGGGAGGTGGAGTGGTCATCCCGGAGTGGGTGGCCAAAGGCCTCTATGGCATTGTGTGGCCCATTGTTCATGCGGCTTCCATTGTCTGGAGTAAATTAAGCAAACTTTGCATGGGTGCCCCCTGCCTCATATCCCATGCCCCATACCCCATGCCCCATGCATAGTTTTGCACCCAAGCAAGTCAATTCATTCAGAGTATGGCATCCCACCTTATCTGCATGTTCCACACTCCCTGTCTCCTGTCTCCTGCCTCCTTCCTTCTGGCAGGCAGGCTCTGAACAGAACACACTCCAACTTCACTCATGGACCTCTCCCAACGCTCTCTCTGCC